GAGGCTGAAAAGTTTCTAATGTACCGGGATTTGTCTATTGAGATAAACAGAATGTGGCAAATGCGTACGCACATAGTACCAATTATAATAGGTTCCACAGATGCCGTGTCTAAGAATTTTGACGCATATGTAAAGGCAATCTCAGGTACCTTAAACCCTTACCAACTTCAAACTGTAGCCATATTCGGTACAGCCCACATTATAAGCAAGGTTATAACATAACGTCTCTTCGGTTTTGACGAAGAAAGTAATCCAGCCACCAACAATCAAGAGCTGAGAAATTTAAAAGAAATAATAATAATAATGTCTTTATTAATCTATCCACACTGCGAGGCGAAGTTTAGCCAGCTGGCTACTCTACCACTTAACCTCACAGCGCAGGAACACATACAAAAGGAAAGATATAACAATTAATAGCAATCGACTAAATAATATATACAATAATTAAGGCTTAAATAGATTAATCTTAATATGTTGTACATCTATTCTAGATAGCCCGCTCTAAAAAAAAAAACAATAAAGAAAAAAAAAATATATCAGCCAGCTTGGCTAGCAGACCCCAGAAGATGGTTCTTAATGGCTCTCTTGAATGCAAGTATTCCCTTCTTTTTGTAATCGTCATTAAGACTATTATACACCTTGACAGCGTTGTAGGTGAAGCTACGATGGAAAATGTTGCTCCTATAACTAGGTGTATCTCATTTTTGAAATTTTCCCCGATCACAACGCGCCTCGCCAATAGACGAGGGAAGTAAAAACGTTAATTTGACAGCATCTCTATTAGTAGGGTGCGTTGCTAGATAATATGAATAGTGGAAATCTACCGAAATCATTTCTTTACTACATAAACCCAAGAAAATCCAATAACGTAGTATCCCCATATATCTCCATGTCCCACTGGACGATGTCAGCACAAACGTATAAACGTAAAAGATTCTGTACTCGAAGGAGAAGTTCAACCATTCTCCGCTCCTCTGGGAATATGAAAACATACCGAAAAAAATCATATCATCTTCCTTATCATCGCATATACACAGTTTACGAGACCCTTCGCTCCCTCAATTTTTTCCCTCCGATAAACCAGTTTGCAGCATTCATCGTATCTACCCTGCCCAACGGGGAGTACGCTCTCTCGTATTTTACGAATCAAATGAAAAAAGCAAATATTCATAATAAAGTTTTATGAACTCGCAGCGGAAAACAGGGTTAAGGGTTTGGAATGCATTCATGGGATCGTTTAATATCGGTGTCTGATTAAAGGATTATGAAAGCACGTTTCCCTTTAAAGGTTTATACAACGGTATGGGAGTTGGGGAGAGATGATAATATGCAATACAGGCAGCTATCATGTTCTCAAATGAGAGCATATACATGGTAAGTTTTTTGTGAGGTCTCGATCGGTAACTCCGTTATTACGCATGGTATCTGAATAAGTTATCTATAAAAATTGTAGCTAAGAGTAAGCTCCTTATTTGGAAATCACGCATTATTCCAAATGGAAGGATCTTCACTTTATTAGATATTTAAATAGACTGTCTCAAACGGAGTAATTTGATGTAACACACTGCAGGGTTTTATTTCTATATTGCCGAGATATTGGGCAATCTATCTGAAAAACAAACAACTTTGACAGTTCGCACCTCCGCAATTGTTACAGATATACTACTGAGTTTTTCATCAGAAGAATTGTACGATCCCGAATTCACTTCTCTCATCCACTTACAGTTTCAGTTTTTTCTTGACCTGGTGCGCCATCTTTTATGTCCGTATCGAAACATCTAATGACTTTGATATTTACCAACCGAGTGATTTGGTTATACGTGTTTCTGAAACGTCAATTTACTACAATTGTAGTCATGAATCGCTTTACACCGAAACAGCGCGCCGAAAAAGTCACAATGAGCCACATTTTCCATCGTAGATTCGCCTACAACGCTGTCAAGGTGCATAATAGTCTTAATGACAATTACAAAAAGAAGGGAATACTTGCATTCAAGGGTATTATGAAAGTCAAGTATATGCCAGCAATCCCCAGACCACTGAATAACTCAAGGCAAGCATTCATATCGCAATCGCTGTCATAGCACCAGAGATGCTCGAAAAAGTAATGGAAATCGCAGCAAAACGGACACATTTTGTTTTGGCCAATAAAGGTGGCCACTTGATAGATGTTGTGTTCGAAAACTAGTACCAATAAACTGTAAAGGACCATATTTAATAAAAATGCCAGATATATAGAAATCAGTTTTTCATTTTCAAGATTATTTCATGTTTACATACCGACATAAAGGATGGCGCGCCCTGTATATAAAACGATCGATTCCTCAAAGTTTTCAAATCCTATATATTTCCAGACTTTCCCTTTTCACAAGCTTTTTTTTCGACATAAAGTTTATGTGAGTTTGTATGAATGGCTTTTGAGTTTCAGTCCACATTTTTGTAACTCGGATATAACTGAAAAATATTGCAGTACCATTCAAAATAAAAATAGCAGTCAGTTAGTTACGGCAGATGGTTAAATTTGTGTACTCATCATTGTAAATTAAATCTACCAAACCAGATCCAATAAAGCCGGAAGGCCAAGGAGGCATCTTAACGCATGAAACAGTTGCATGAATCCTCATAAACCTCATATTAGAAAAAGTCTTGAAAATGTTGAAAAATCATTAATTTTGCATTCTTGACCAGACTGTATAACTTTTAGTAATCAGTGGATAGAGAGAAAGCATCAGGTAATTAATTTTTCTTACGCAAAATTCAGTTCGTTCGCTATTGTGTATGTCAAAGTGGAATGTTTTCGTTGATACATTGCCCAATTCTCAACACAACAAATATAACCTTATAGTATGTTATATCAAATTGCTTCATTTAAAAGAGCTCATCCAAACCAGGAGTAGGTTTTTGTTCTTCAATGCTACGCCACAAAGAAAAGGGCTCTATGCCTATAATATGCTTGGCTGCACCCTGTCGGGCTAGCTGGTTGACCTTCATATTTTCTTTGTGCCCTTCATGACCTGGTACCCAGAGCAATGTTACCTGGTTTCGGTTTCCCATCTCTTTGAGAGTATTCACGCAGTCCGCAACTAATCTGGACGATAGTTGCGATCAACTAGCCTTAATGACTGCCTTGCTGTCTGAGAAGATGGCTATCGACTGATTCACAGTCTTCTTCCTTATTAGATCTTTTGCGAAGATAACCTGAAACATTGTTGCTTTGTTACCTAGACTCATAGAGATCTCTTCGTAGGTGTTTGGTGAAGACATAGACTATACAGTGTGGCGCATCGAAAACGAAACAGACGCATTTACTGGCAGCTTTTTTTTTTGAAAAACGCTCATTTATAATGATATAAAATTAATGTACTACAGTTCAGTAGTTTTGAAGACTTATTTATTTAAAGCTTAAATAAAACTAATACATCATCATTAGTGGAGATCAATACATTTGGCAGCAAAGTAATTTAAAAATAAAATTAAGAAGGAACTGACCCGTTAGGCAAGCAAATGTTGAAAATGGCCACCATGACTCTCCATGCAATAATAAAGATTTTGCCCAAAACGTTGCCGCACATTTTGCAATATTTGAGGAGTAATTTGAAGGCACTCCTTCAAAATTCTTTGTCGCAGGTCTTCTAATGATGTTGGCTGAGTACCATAGATTTTGCTTTTCAAATGACCCCACATAAAGAAATCCAAAGGTGATAAGTCTGGCAAACTTGGGGGCCATTCAATCTCACCTCTTCTACCAATCCATCGATCTGGAAACGTCTGATCTAAATATTGTCGAAAACGTAATGCGTAATGTGGTGGGGCACCATCCTGTTGGAACATCAACCTATTCGCAATGTACCGCCGATCATTCTGATTTTCAATTATGGCTGTTAATGCAGGATCTATGGCGTCTTCCAGTAATTCCAAATACATTTCCAGGTAAAAAAAAAGACCAATTAAATGATCGCAAAAAATGCCAGCCCAAACATTTAATTTTTGTGGCTGCTGTGTATGAACCTCATGATAAATTCTGGGATTAGAATCAGACCAACATCGGCAGTTATTACGATTTACTACTCCATTTTAGAAAAAGGAACATTCGTCGGAAAATCAAGTGTTGAATAGAAAATGTTCATCGTTTATAATTCGTTCACTCATGTCTTCACAAAATTGTAATCGTCGATCAAAATCATCTTCATTAAGCTCTTGTACCAGGTGCATTTTATACGGATGAAAACTATGGGCCTTTAGAATCCGTTGGACAGTACTTCGACTAACACCACACACAGTCTTCAATTTGCGGGTACTTAACGTAGGATTTACATAAACTTGCCCTAAAACCCCCACTTCTATTGCTTTGTTCCTTATGGGATTCTCAATGTTGCGTTTTTGATGCACGTTACTGTTCGCATGTCGCTCATTAAATATTTCTGCTGTTCTATTAGCGCACTGATTATTTCCGATTTTTTTACTTATTATGTAAATTCTTTTAGTCAAATTTCTTCTGAAAGTAGTACAAACTAATTTGTTGTACCTATTAAAGTCTACTTTAAGCTTTAAATCAATAAATATTCAAAACTACTGAACTGAAGCTAATGTATTTTACATCACTATAAAGGGAATTGAAAGACCTTTAAAATAAGGTATCACTCGACCCCCATTTGCATTTAAGATTTTAGGGTTAGTGTCACCCCCGCCCGAGGGGTTGCACGTGCCAACGTGATTTTTTGCCAAACCTATGTCCCCCTCGAGAACAAAATCGACGGGTCTGAGCGTTTTTCCAAAGAAAAACTGAGCTGCCAGTAAATGCGTCTGTTTCGTTTTCGATGCGCCACCCTGTATAAGTGTCAAATAGTGTTAGTTTGAAGTTGTACTTGACAAAAAATCACCCGAAAAACAGAACGTCTATCAACCGGGAGATTTTGAAAATACTCGCATTATAATCCAGATATTTGTTAATTTTGAGTCATTTGAGCAACACACTTTGCTTAGACATTTTTTTCCAACAGACAAAGATCTAACCAAGATACGCTGCTCCTACGCGAGTTGGTGCTGAATCAAGACCTCTCTTCATCAACAGTAGACCTTCGATGGGTTGTGAGCATCCCAGGTAGCACCATTACTTCGGTTAGAGTAATCAACGTAGGAAGAGAAAGAGGGTACTGCTTGAGGATCGACGTACAAGGAGGCGATGTGCAGGTGTTCATTAGAATACCGCCGTACCGCGACCCAAGGATTTTCATTGAAGTGTATGGATACTAAAACATGTTTAGTATGATTGAGGGAAACTTAATAAAGTTATTACGTGTATACTTATGTTGATTTTTCCATATCACAAAAGTAACCTTTGTGGTTGTATACTTTTTGTCGGATAATGTTTTTAACAACATGAACGATTTTCAGTAACTGAGAACAATAAACTATGCGTTCAGGCTAAATACTGATTTGTGATTATTGTGACTGAATACTTAATAATCTACTTAATAATTAATAATTGTAAGCTGTTTTGTTGAACAGTTTGATTAGCAAAGTCTGTAAACCGGTTACAAAATTGAGAAATTTATTACTTTCTTAGAAAAAGACAATTGCCAAAAAGGTGATTATAATTTGGAATACTATACTCTTAATTACCTGCATCATAAGTAAATTTACGCATTTGGAGTTTTTTACTTTGATAAATATTTTGATGGGGTTCCTGGTTTTTGTTTTATTTCATTGTCTAAATCAATAAGGTTTAACGATTTCCCAATAATTTATCGCATTTTTTATTTTGATATCCCGTTTATCCTGAAAGTTATTTCCAAAAAACAAACCAGTATTCCAAATATGCAGCGGTTCCTCTAAACCTCTGACCGTGAGTTTCGCAAAAACCAACTTTGTTCCTTTTGCTTCCTACTAAAACACTTGTCAGAGTAAGACGCGGTAAATAGTTATTTAAGTTCTGATAACACAATAGATATCAAAAGAACCGGTGACATAAAATTCTTAAGCATTATTCCCGATTAAAACCTGGAATAGACGAAACATTTAGAATACACCGTAAAAAATATTAGAATGCTGAGCCAAAATTTAAGCATCTAACATGTCCTGGATTTTTCTCTGTCCAAGAACTTTCAATACAACCCCAGTGTCTTGCAAAATATGAAATTATTCGACCTCATCCAGAAAACAAATAAAACATGGCTGCATGAAGTCCAGAGAGTTAAAGTCCATATACACCTATACAGGGTGTTTCAGTTTTTTGCTGCATAAGTTTAAGATTCGATAGAACTTTTAAAATTAATGCATAAAGTCTATATAAAACATGGGTCGAAAAATGCGTCGCTTCCGAAATACAGGGTGTTTAAATTTACTTTCTAAAAGAGTTTTTTTTTAAATATTTCGAACAATATTTGATGTATAACAGTGAAAATTGGTATACAAAGGTTTTTTGGTACCACAAAACGAACCATGGGCATAGTTTTATTGTAGCCGCTAGAGGGCGCTTGTACCTGTAGTGTATTAAAGTCACCGAACATTTTTCTTAGTGCAATTTTTTGCTTTTTGGTGAAAAGAAATGATTCTTCGCACTTTTCGACATAAAAAAGCTCTCTTGTGAATTTTCGTTACTTGAAACCTGAAACGCTTTTTTTGCAATTGTGAATGCACGAAATTTAGGTTCTTTTACCTGTTTTTTTTTTGCAAGTTTTATAAAAATGCCATTTTTATTCTCCAATCAAGAGTTAGCTTATATTCATTTTGTGTATGGCTTTGTAAATGGAAACGCAGCAGAAGCAGCCGGAGAATACGCACGAAGATTTCCAAACAGACGACATCCAACTCGCTCAGTATTTGTAAGAGTGCATCGCCAAATAATTGAAAATGGTTTTGGAAATCTCCAAAGGGATCAAAACATAAATGTTCGTCAGCGCAGATCTACCCGTATGATTCTGCGTGAGTTTGATAGAGATCCAACCACAAGTGTTAGGAGAGTTTTTGGTGCCTTGGGAATTTCAGCAAGCCATGTTCACTGTGTTCTTAGGAATGACCATAGACGTCCTTACCATTTGCAACCTGTGCAAGGACTACAGCCAGGGGACGGAGAACGAAGAATCACATTTTGTCAGTGGATTCTTGATAGAACTGATAATGATAGGGAGTTTTTATGTAACGTTTTATGGACCGATGAGTCATGCTTCACTAGACGTGGAGTGGTAAATTTTCATAATCAACATATATGGTCGCATGAAAATTCGCATGCAGTTCGGGAAAGAAATTTTCAGCATGAATTTAGTGTGAACGTGTGGATTGGTATCTACCGTAATCGACTATTTGGACCCCACCTTTTGCCTGCAAGGTTAAATGCTGCGACCTTCTTGAAATGTTTAAAGGCTGAACATGCAAATATGTGGGATGATGTTATGTTAGATTTAAGAAGATTGACCTGGTTCCAGCTTGATGGTTGTCCAGCTCATTATTCAAGATTAGTTAGAGACTGGCTGGACGAAAATTATCCAGAAAGATGGATCGGCCCTGGAGGACCAGTCGCCTGGACTCCACGATCCCCTGACTTAAATCCATTAGATTTCTTTGTGTGGGGATTTCTAAAAGAAAAAGTGTACCAGACTCCCGTAACCACAAGGGATATGCTAATAGACAGAATTAGGAATGCATGTGATGAAATAAGGCCTTATTTGAATAATGCTATATCACGTTCGATCATTCGTAGATGTGAATTGCCTATTGAACAATTGGGTTTACATTTCGAGCAACTACTTTAGATTTTGTATGTTTGTCCTAACTATCCAATAGCATTTTAGTTGTAAATAATTAATTTAATTTGTTAAAAATAATATTGGAAAATTAAACAAATTAATATTCTGTTTTTTTGTGTTTATTTGGAGTTAGGAATTATTGCTGTGTTAAAAACACAATCTAAACGATCATCTTAATTATTTGTAATGCCCAAACCGAAAATGTAAACAAAAATATTATTTTCCCATAAATAATGAAAAATGCATCGAACCTTAAAAATCGAAATATCTCAAAAACGGTTAACTATAACGAAAACTCACAGGAGAGCATTTTTATGTTGAAAAGTGCGAAGAATCCGTTTTTTCATTCAAAAGGCAAAAAATTGCACTAAGAAAAAATTTTTGGTCATTTGAATACCCTACAGGTACAGTAGAGAGTGCCCTCTAGCAGCTACAGTAAAACTATGCCCATGGTTCGTATTGTCGTACCAAAAAATCCTTGTATACCAATTTTCACTGTTATACATCAAATATTGTTCGAAATATTTAAAAAAAACTATTTTACAAAGTAAATTTAAACACCCTGTATTTCGGAAGCCACGCATTTTTGGACCCATGTTTATATAGACTTTATGCATTAATTTTAAAAGTTCTATCGAATCTTAAAGTTATGCAACAATAAACTGAAACACCCTGTATAAGTAGAAGGCACGAGCTATACATTGTAAGTTGCAGGTTCTTCTCTGATCAATTTTTCCGTTTTTTTTTTTGACGGGTACTGTTCAACTCTTCTTGTATCCTATTTGTTGTAGATTTTATTTGCCTCGGACTGCTTGTGGTATTGTCAATAAATATATATATATATATATATATATATATAAAGTAGATCAGTCGCTAATTTAGTCACTAAATCCTAGAGGTCCATTCTAAATTGTCTGTGGTGTCGTGTTTCAAAACCTTAAGTTTAGTTTTGGCCCAATTATTTGTAATGGTTACGTACAGGTTATCCTTTAGTGGTTAGTATTTAGATAGATAGATAGATAGATATATAGTAGCTTTATTGTTCAATAGTGGCCCATTAACAGGACAATATTATACAAAATCTATACAAAAGATACAGAACAAACTACATAACAAAACAAAAATATCTCATGTATATCCTTGACCTCCGTATGTATATATTAGCTATCCCAACTAATTCTTTGTTAGACGTACAAAATATGTCCCAGAAAGTACAGATTCTATTGAAATTTTTAAACATATTATTTAGCGACGACTTCAGTGAATTATTTGTTCTTGCCTTTGTAGCTCTGAACGTGAAGTGAGTACGCGACGCAAAAGTCGGTACACTGATGTTGATCTTTCCAAGAAGGGAAGGACTGTCAATTAGATTATTTAAAAGCTTAAACAAAAATATCAATGTTGCGCAATTACTATGCTGCTCCAGAGATATAAGGTCAACACGACTGCATAACTCGGTATTGTTAACACCCCTTTCTGGGTGAATTCCATCAATTTTATAAACTAAGGACTTGAAGCAAATTGCCACCTCGATGATAAATAAGATTCAAAAAGGTCCCTAGCATCACAAGAAAAACCAAATTTTATTAACTTTCCAAGCAATAAATCATTATTTATTCGATCGAAGGCCTTCGAGAAATCCGTGTAGATGGCATCAACTTGACTATTGTTGTCCAATGCCTCGGAAATATATTGCGTTATGGTAAGTAGATTTGTAGCAGTTGAACGGTTATTAATTAATCGATGTTGATGTTGTGGGAGATGATTATGAGCCGAACTATAAATACCATTGAAAAGTATTATCTCGAAGACTTTTTAAAATACGCAGAAAATGGAGATCGGATGATAATTTTAAATGTTGGACCTGTCCAATATACAAATTAAAGAATTTTGTTAAAAAACCACGAACGCTTCGGCACAATCCTTGGTCTAAGAGGATGGAATATTATCGAAGTAATTTTGTCCTTAAGTCTCTTAACAGCAATCATTACTTCCTTGTCATAAATTTCATCAAAATGTACATGAGCAACATTGTTAAAACTTTCGTCCACATCACCCAAATTGTCTGCTTGAGACTCTATGTAGACACTCCTGAAAAATACACTAAAGGCATCCACAATGTCTTGCGGATTATCAAATGATTCGTTAAGGTAAAACATCTTTCCAGGGATCCTAGAAGCGTTCTTTTTGAATTCACATATGACCAGAACCTTCCAGGATCATGCGATAATGAATTTTCAATATCTTCAAGGTTGTTGTCGTATGCACATTTAATCTGGACCTTAATCAGTTTGCGTAGCCGCTGTATTTACACTGATATACTAAATTCTATGACTAGAATCCATAACTCACCTACATACATGTTATTGTGTTAAGTCATCGTTATTTTTAACCGTACACAAGGGCCACCCTTCTGCGGGCTCTTCATTAATTTTTCTTCTATGGTCACAGGAAGCTTGAAAAACCACCTAACCTCCCATTCCATTCAAGAAGATATTTCCCAAGATGGCGCTCAGCCTTAACAAGAAAATT